TTTACAGGTCACCTTTAGATTGTGCAATATCCAGGCACCAGACTATTTTGTAGTACCTTAGCCTCGGTTTGAAACCCCCGAACCCGCAGTATGGTATAGAAACAAGATGGTTCATGAAACTAGATACATTATCAACAAGATTCAAGGAAGCAGGTGCCTAGCTAACAGACTAAAGCAACCCTGCCCCTCTCGCTCTCAAGCTCTCTCGAGACCGGGGAAAGGAGCTTCGGAGAAGCAGAAGAAGAAAATCGAATTTTGTAGGCGCACCAAGGCCGAATAGGCTCAGCACAACCGGCCCATCGGGTGCTTTATTAAAAAGAGTTATGACATTTCTCTGTACAATCCAGCCCGTGTAACTGGGGCATCGACCACTAAAATAATGACGTTGATTAGATTAGCGGGCAGCCACTGGCGGCGATGACGTGTCGCCGGTATAAAAGAATACACTCATTCCCGGGGGTGCTTGAAGTGGAGAGGGCACGGGGCAGATGTTGAGTCCCCCTTTAAGTAGGTATGGGGATTATTAAAGGGTATCTCATGCATTGATATCTCTGCGGTTAAATTAAAATGGGTATTTATATAACCTATTTGAGAAAGTTCAAAGCGCTTTGTATTCTTATTAACCCTGCTCACTGGGCCCATAAAACATGCGCTATACCATCTTAAAGGGTATATAAAGTTCCTCTGTTCGCACAGGTACCCATTTTTACTCCTGGGTGGGGAGAAGCAAGTAGTGTCTTGTCAAAGGACACACGTCAAAATGTGCGGTCCAGACTAAGTCAAGATAAACCTTAGTGATTGCACTGCGTTCAGCAAGGGTCAGTTGATGGAGTGATGCTGCATGTTGGCCCGGTGTTAGGGGGTCCGAGTCGTGAGGCTTTGAGCGGCGCGATGGCTCGACACTAGCGGGGAATTCAAAGCCTCCCGCCCGGCCCCCTAGGCCTTAAAGGTCCCGCTGCTTGCTACGCCGTTGACGTGCAAGTCACACGGCCCTCGGAGCGCGTCACCCTGGGTTTTAAAGATTTTTTGGGTTTCCTGTCGGCCTCCTGTGATTTCAAAAAAGAATTACCGCTCGAGGTCAGGTTACCATGGCAACAGTGGAGCGGGCATCACTTAGAAATGTTCGGCAGCAAATCCGAAAAGATGTAATTTGCTATGACGTACTCAGGTGTATGGGCTACTTGACCTTATAGGGAAAAGTTTCAATTGACTATTTTTCTCAAGTATTTTCTTGTGGGTTACTTGTCTCCACAATAAAATCATAAATTAGCAGGAATATTTCAAAAGCCATGTCTTTAGGAAGGTGTCAGTAAAAACCAACGTTGACTATTTTTTTTTAAATATCAATCATTCTTTAAAAACTAAAGATTTGTTTTCGCTGTTATGGTAAAAAAAAAGAAGTCTTAGCAGATAATGTGGTAAGTGTGGTATCGGCAAACTAATAGAATAAAGGCAAATATGCATTTGTTCTCAAATAGTTAAATGAGTTATGAAGCATTACCGGTTATAGACCCACATTTGTCTTTCATCACTAGTCTCGAATAACTCTGTAAGAACGACTACAACCCATCCAAAGTGTATTTGAAAACATGCACGTTAGCGGCCTGAAAAGGGTATTTCAGGAATACTTGCTTGACGCGTGCAATATAATACAGGTGAAAAACACCTGGTGTTCCCGAGTCCCACGACCCCTCCCCCTAAAAAGAAGAATCCCCCTCCAAATAAACGCAAGCAACGCCTAGCATCCTATCCTGCAGTAGTCACCTGCGTTGATACAAAGGCCCTGCGGAGCCTCCCGATATTAAAAAAAAGCCTCCTCCTCCCGCGCACCATTGTAGATGTTTTGAAAATTGATCTTCTTGAGAAAAATCCCAACGATTATAGCCCTGCCCGACGAATATGGGTTCACGACCCCGCACTATTAGGACAGGCTATTGGTTTATCTCGTGTCCCGTAAGATGATACTCGGTAAAAACGGTCGATCAATGAAGATTCCAAACTGACCGATATTGTATATCATGTTCTTTTTTCAGGACAGTTTTTTTTTATTGAACTTCCAAACTAGGCTCTTATTTCCATGTATTTTTATAGTAAAGCACTCAAATATTTGAACTGTGAACCAAGAAAACAAATTTATAAAACTCAATAGATTTGCAACACTAAATGGATTCAATTGATTTCATTGATGTGTCGGCACCAAAACTACTAGATTATGTGCTTATTTTTATCTGTACTCTTATTGTTGCACCCAAAAGCATAATTTTACAAGGACAAACATGAAAAAAATCTACATTTTGAAGTGAAAAATAGATAAAGTATAGGCCTAAACATACTTTCCTCCCAGAGTTGTTTCTTGTTTCGTACGAAAGAGTATCATTTTAAATTTGAGCATCACTTCTGGATTTTTCTCATTACCCAAGTGACTGACCAAGTCATCTAAAGTTTCGAGAAAACACAATTATTTGCCCTGTGTTGTCATTACCAGGTAACATTATGCGAGTGTATGTCCCTGTGGCGACTTTAATGACGACAGGTGCACATGTGATGAGCTGAATTAAAATCAGCCATTTGCGGAGGGGTATAGTTTCAGTCATTCCAAAAAAAAAAACCCTCAAGAAAAATATAAGAAGAAAGGAAAGAAACCGACAATTAAATTATGTCTCCCAAGACTGGTGGAATTGCTGTACTTATAAACGCCTGCTATTAAATTATGATTGCACCAAAATGTAGCCGGATCGATGACTGTGCGAGGGTATACCTTATTGTGTATTGATCGGCAGGCACAGTGCAGGAAAGAGACGGGGGGGGAGCTGGCATTTGCCGGTTTGTAGGGGTTAGGGTCGTCCGTTGTTCTAGTTTGGTTGCGTTCTCTGCATGGGCGTCGCGAGGGGGGGGGGGCCAAGGGGGCGCTCCCTCCCCCCCCCCCCCCCCCCCCCCGTAAACGAAAAAAAAAAAAACTTTAAAAAAGGAAAAAGAGGTGCGAAGCCTTATTGCTGTTAATTTGATGGGGGGGGGCAAATTCTCCGCTGCTCACGCTCGGAAAAATGATAAATTGAGAATATTATGAAAAAGTTAAGGAAGTTTGGGGAAAAATTTACTTTGCCTCCCCCCTGGAAAAATCCTGGCGACGCCCATGTTTCTCTTCCCTCCCAAAACAACGGAACTTCGGCAGCATAAGAAAGTCCTCTAAAAATGCAGTTTCAATGGGAGTTGATATCATTTTGGATTGAATTTCATAGTTATTGGTTTCAAATATCCATAAGATGGAATTTGCGTTGGATTGATGTACATTCAATATTTGGTTTTGCCCTTTATTTTTATTAGATTTTTACAAAAATTCGATAGGCTTGTGGCCAGCTGCATATTATTGATACCAGATATTATTTTCATTAAGAATTCTCACGTTTTCATATGAAACCATATTTTTGTCTATTGTCCACGAGAATTTCATTAAGTGACTCGGAAAAAGTAGTTCATTAGTATACAAATAACGAATGTTTGTGAGTGCGATGGTAAGAATAATTTCATGAGGTGACAGATTGAATGTTCTATTCCACGAGGCGAAGCCGAGTGGAATAGAACATTCAATCTGTCACCGAATGAAATTATTCTTTCCATCGCACGAACGTAAAACATTCGTTATTTGTTTTATACAACACCTGAATAAATTCTCGTCATTTGATTGGTAAATTATAAACTACAATTTATTTTGATTTTAAAGATGTTGAACTACCCCTTCACGAAAATGTTTGAACCCAACGCTGTAGCGCTGGCTCTTTGGAACAATACGCGCTACGCTGAACGCGCACATAAGCATGCATTTTGCACGCAAATACCGCGTCATGCAAGCACAAAGTGAAACGGTATAACGCATGGGTATAACGCATGGTCGCACCGTGCATTATACCGAATAATAATATGTCACGTGATCTACAATTCACCAATCAGATGACGGGGATTTATTCAGGTGTTGTATAATTTGAAATAGTCGCATGAAAAAAAGGTACAATCACTTGTTTGAATTTCATTACTAGTTCATCATTTTGGTAAGTATTAAATAGCGCAGAAACAGAATTGGTTGACAAAAACCATCGCATGTTTCTCAATACTGTTTTCAGTGCTAACGTTCTGTGGGAAGATAGTTTGTGTGTATACTGTATTACAATAATACGGACGCTACGAAATTAAGTTTAGTTTTTTTTTATATCGAATACACCTTGTTAGTTAGTCCTAAATTATACCACCTGTTTTCGTGTTTCAGTAATTCATCTACAAAATATATAAGACACTTTTTGCAACCAGTGTAACAAAACATTTTGTCCACTGTCAACGTTTTTGCTTATAACAATCAATTTTTTTCCTAGTTTTGATTTTAGCCAGCTCAAATTCCAAGATAATATTTCCCCTTTCCCCTTCTTCATCGACACTTTTCCATTTATCACATTCTTAAAACGCCGGACATAAATCCATTTATATTCAGGCTTCCTTTTACCGTGGCTGCTACCCAGAGTTGGCATAACCCCGTCCGTTCATATTTTTCTCAAGTATTAAAAAAAAATCACCATGGACAGCCATTTCAATACTGTTATTTCTGGTACTAATTACAAATACACGACATTTCTTCTGTAAAAAAATGCCACAAGGATATTCAACTGATGATGCAATTACACGAAAGCGTTTGCCCGCTAGGTCAGCGAAACAAAAATTATACGCATCGTTTAACACGTTCAAGGTTTATTGTTAACATAAATTTCCATCTCGCTTCTCCACTCATAACAGTTACCAAAAGTGTTACTGCAGGTACTGAACCACAGCTACAGCCGTATGCGGAGAGTAACAACACGTACATACCCCAAGGCCCAACCAGTGTCGGATCTACACGAATGCGAGGATACAAAAAGATCGAGCAATAAAAAGAAGTGTATGGAAATATTACAATTGACCCATGGCCAGATGTCGTCAGTACGAGCGATGGAGCGTCTTTTTCAAGAGCCTCTTCCCTCCGTGTTGCATTATTAAAACTCTTGTACCGCGCGGGAACATGTTCAACGGCTGTGGGAGAATAGTCGACGACAGAGGAAGGAACAACAAGCTCAATTCCTTTTTTTCCCCTCTGTTGGTTGCCTCTGCGCTTACAGGCGGGGAAGCATTTTGTCCATATTTTTCTCGCGTCAGTTGCGAGTGGAGGAGGCGGGACCGCGTGGATTTTATTTGATTCGCACTCCGGTGTTTACAGCGGATTTCTTCCGCTCCGAATAATCCTTTCAAACCACTTGCCTAAATGAAACCATGCCGGAACTCTTCTCCAAACAACCACGCTATTTTTTGATGAAGTAGCAATATTCTCCATGCGTGCTGTGTACGAGTATCGAACGCAGGGACTTGTATAGCAGAGCTGGCAATCCCCCAGTATGCCCTTGTGCGACTCGTGTGGTTTTCCCGCCAATATTTTTGAGGTCACGCGCAGTGACCTCGCATGAAGCGCGCCATCACACACTGGTTTGAAACCAGTCCGGTTTGTTTGCGGTAGTTGCACGCACGCGAGGACAATCCACCACGCGCCGATATCGGTACGGTGCGCTACCGACTGCCAGCCCTTCGCGTCAGGACAAGTGTAGAGGAAAAACTGCCGCATACTTAACTGCTAACGTTTGCCGAACTAGTCTGTTACCTGACTGGGAATCTTGACAGAAATCTTGAGCTGAAATCACAGATTTTCTGAGGGGAGGAAAGACGACGTTGCAATGGGGAGGTTCGTTGTAATGTGCTGCGTGTTGAATTGCCTCGTCGTCCGTTGGTAAGTGCATTCATGTTTGCTTTTTACATAACATGAGCGTTGGTTTAAGTCTTTTACTTCCAAGGAGTTTAAGTCTTTTACTTCCAAGGAGCGATACTTATTTTCTGGTGGTAAAATTAAATAATTCTTTTCAGGACAATCCGTAAGAATAATTTGCATGTCATTCATAAAGACACCATAAAAAAACATCAAAAATGTACATGCAGTCGTGCATGAATAATTGCTGACTGTTTTGTCGTGAAATTGTAATACCAAATGGTAAACTACGATCCGTACTCGTTCATTACAATGAAATAAACTCAATAAATGATGATATCAATTGCTGCGACAATCGATACTCGCCAGGCTCGTAAAATATCACACCTAGATGAAGAAGGTATCTTCTCACATGTTAATATGCAGTTCAAGTAGGCGTCGAAGTGAATTCACTACTGGCCACTCCACACCAAAGAGTGTCATGCTAGCTTCAGGGGGGTCGTACATATATTTTCTCCGAGGGATCGAGGTAGCATAATGAAATGATGTCATCCCAAGCACGCCTCAACCCAAAAGATAGCCTGTGATGATTAGCGTGTGCTGGGAATAGTTTAAGAGGAGCTAAACAAAAAAATGCCGATATGGGTTAGTCCTGCACGCCGTCAGGCCCTCAAGGGAGCGGGGAGCAAGAGCGGCCTAGTCCCGCTCCTTCAGCCGGAAACTCCGGGCCCGTCACCAGTCACACCTGCTTGTTTCGCACCGGCCCGCTGGTCCTTTTCGACAAAAAAAATCCAGTTCTGTTTTTCCCCATCCCTTTTTTTTTCTCCCTCTATTGGTGATATTCAGCTGATGGCATTTCGTCATTTTGCTTTCGGCTTCTTCCTTCCACTTCCTGCATATTTTTTGCCCCGTGTTATATCTGGGCGCTAGTGCCGCCGTTAATTAAAGCTGGCCCGTCGGTATATGCAGGGCAGAGAAAATGCCGGATTACGGTATGATATCAAGAGGGGTATTGGGCCTGACAACCTGTTTAAAATCCTTGGTGCTTGTCTGAGCTCGTAAAGAAACTGCAGTCACGGAGAAACATGATCTAGACGCCGCTGTCTGCAATTAAGTACGTGGGGGGAAAATACCAAACACGAATGGAGTACAAATCGGAACACCATTCGCAAAATAGTTTGACATTATGCTTGTCTTATATTTAGCACACCACGTAATGGCAATGAGGCAAACTTTAAGCACTTAATAACTCATAAAATTGAAGCTATCAATTATTCGTTTGCTTGAAAACAAATGCAATAAATATCTTAAGTCATGTGCATTTCCATAAAAGCACAAAATTGTTTGACGAGAACTCTGTTTCTTTGGAAGAGAACCGACAGGAATGATTTTGGTGCTAAATTATTTTGATTTTTAAAAAAAGTTTTGAATTCTGTATTAAAAGTATATGTCATGCCATTTTATATAGCGTTGTGTGCGTTTGTGGGTATTTGTCAGTTAAAATATTTGTGATGGATAGTCATGGCTCATTTACATACGGCATCATTAGCATATTCAAATGAGCACTGTTTGCGGCACATATCTTTTCAACTTGGGAAGCAACGCTTCGGTGGTGAATAGATTGTTCAAATTTTATTTAATTACAAACTATGAAGAAATGATATAGTAATATCATATTTATCAAAATATTTTGCCTTCTGTTTTTTTACTTTCACCGTGCTTTGTTCATTCTAACTCATCTTATGTAACGTCAGTGCGTGTGTGCATATTCATACTTGCAATCGGTTCGTTATTGCATCCACATCCAACGATACGTTACTTATTTGCGAGGAGTTGCAATGAATATTTCAAAAATATCAGCTTCATTTACACGGCATGTCAAGGTTGGTGGTACATGAAGAGAGATGTCCAGCTCGCCACAAATCAATATGTACGTGTGTCATATCTGGCGTAGGGTATTATCTCTTCCTGTGGGCCTGACCATGCGGAAATTTGAAAATTAAAGAGGAATTTGTCGTACTCGCTGGATTTTTTTCTGCAAAACTTATTTTAAAAAAGTCAAAATTGGTATCGAGACAACGGTTTTCAGAGGACATAAGTGTCAGGCGCGGTTCTAGTGCCTATATTTGAGGGGGAGAGGGGCTAGCACGGGTGGTTCCAGACATTTTTGCAGGGAGGCGTGCTGAAATGTAGGCCAGTTTTGTTTCTCTGGAATCTTAGGCCTCCAAAATCAATAGGTGGAGGGAGAGGGCTCGTACTATTTTCAATAGGGAGCACTGATAAAATCCTACAATCAGGCACACTATAGTACCTAATAGTGTACAAATGCACCCTTCTCACGACTATTCGGGGAGACCGTTCGATCGACTCCCTTTTAGGGGAAAATATTTAATTATAAGAGAAAAACACTTAAGAGTCGCACACATCTAGGACACGTTGCCACTTTTTTTACCGTTCTTTAATTCCTACCCTTAATTTGTTGTATGGACGTTTTAAATGACTAAGAAATACTTGTGCAAATATCTAATTTTCGTCGAAAGGTAACACCTGGTATGAAATTTTAATATTATGATATGATTTTCCATTAAAAATCGTATAATGTAGGAACTGCGCCCCAAATACACGACGCCCTCCTAAATCACCTAAACACCCAATTAGCCAATAAAAATGTCAAACCGTCTTCTTGAAATTCCTAATAGCAAGACGATATAATGTAACTGGGGCAGTGCGCATTAAAGTAGCAGTATCAAATGCTCGCTCTGGGCTACAATATTAAGTACGACAGAAAAAAACATGATCTTCTGTTATATTTGGGGTGTCGCAGACGTGCATAGTAGAAGGATTCGGCAGGTCATACTTACCCCTTTGGCATGCCATGACTGTGCTCCGGAGCCAGTCTAATTTGATTCTCTGCAATTTATTTCCCATGATGCAAGCTCGATAGTCCGGTGGCTTAGAGCTAATTTTGGGCAAGATCGTGACACGCCGGATTAAAGCACCAAATTTGGTACACTTACTCTATAGGTCCCTAGAAGATATTCTAGAGGGGGTGCCCGATTTTGGGGGCCTAGGTCAAGGTCAGGCCAAGGTCAAAGGTCACAAGGTGTACAATACTGCATATAGTTGTCGTAAATTTCCCCAAAAGTCTGAAATTTAAAGTTCTGAATTGCATAAAAGGATGTCTGGCAACTATAAGACCAACCATATCAGAAAAAAATCCATCAAAAAACCTTTGCCCAACAAAATAGTGGAGACTTCGCAATTTCCAAAAATGATGACTCAGCACTTTTTAGAAAAAAAATTAATTTCTCTTAAAATTGAAGAGAATGCACTGCACTATTACAATCTTTCCACATCGATAGCTTTGTATCATCATAAATCTCAGCAACTTACGGATTAGTTGGCTATTCTCCAGCCATTGGCTCCAGTCCAAAAAGTTAATGAGTTTGTATACCTCTTGACTAAATTTTCAAACTAGCTCTACATGTATTTTATTGTTTTCATCATTGAAAACTACTATTTGGCATAATAAGGTATGCATATTTATAGGCATTTAGGTTTAGCGACTCGCAATTTTCAAGTTTGGTCCGAAGTACACTTGAGCTTTCATGGAATGAAAAGCGCTCTTGTAAATCTTTTGCTTTGTGAATTGTGAATCAATCACACACAAGGTATAGGACATAATTTCAGCAATGGTAGGCAAACTCAATCAATGAGCACATCCGGGTGCTAATTATTATGCAAATAAGAAAAACGACTTTGACACATGTCATTACAGGTATTCAGCTCCTCCGTATACATGTACATACACTGTATAAATGTAGGTTTACGTATAGGCTACCGTGCCACCGTGAAACAATGACAAACAAAGAATAAAAATGTGATCTGGAACGACCAATACATTTTTAGAAGAAAAAACATAATAGAAAGCCAGAAACTGACCATTCACTTTTATGTCTTGTGAGTTAAAAGTGATATACGTATATACAATACATACTTATACAGACATCAGCTATTAAATCATGATTGAAATCAAACTAACGTTGTAATTATAATAATTAATAAACAATGTATAATTAATAAATCAAAGGAAGAGCGTTAATTATGCTCGCTAGTATCCAAGTGCCGTAGTAGTGATGCAAAAAAAGAACAAAGTTCCCTTTTCTATAACTTTAACATGACAGAAAGCAAACTTTCTAAAAAGTGCTGAGTCATCATTTTTGGAAATGGAATAAACTCCCCTATTTTGTTGGGCAAAGTTTTTTGGGTGGAACTTTTTCTAAAAGGTGAGGTCTTCTAATTGTCAGACATCCTTTGATACTATTCAGAATTTAAAATTTCAGACTTTTGTTGATATTTACTACAACTACATACCGTATTATACACCTTGTGACCTTTGACCTTGGTCTGACTTTGACCCAGGCAGCTAAAATCGGGCACCCCCCTCTAGAATGACTTCTTGGGACCTATGCAGTAAGTGTACCAAATTTGGCGCTTTAATCCGGCGGGTCACGATTTTTTCCTCAAGCCACCGGACTACGAGTGCTGTCCATATTTGGCGACTCTTTCACCGTAATGGTTAAAACTCTCAGCTGCGGTTTGCATGCAGAACCTTAACAAAGCAATATTGGTGTAAATGTTGTGGACTATCAGCCTATTCAAGCAAAAAAAAAAACACTGCGTTTTTTCACAACTAAAAGGTCCTTACTGAACAATTCGGGTAAAAGGTCTTGATATTTGCTAATTTGGTTGAATTGTCGAGTTAAGTACCAAACAAAAATAAAACCTTTTATTAAATCGCTAAGGGATTTTTTTTTTTAACAAATTGCATTTGACTGAAAGTTGTGTGAACTTATTTAAATAATTTTCTTTTCAGGCTTAAAATTACAGCCATATTGCTAGAAATCTGTAGACTGCTAGGATCTTTAGATCAGAGGTTTTAACCACGTCTGAGGGTAGGCGTTGTAGTATTTTGGGGCGGCGCGGTAAAACATCCGCAGATGTAAACCCAATGAAATTAATCC